AGTTTTACTAAATCAAACACATCTATTCACCATTCTGTGTTTTCAATGATAAAGAGCTGCTATTCTAGTTTTGAAAGTTGTTCCTACTATAACTGTGTTGTTCCTGGTTCCAAAGTGTCCATTACGATACCAGTCGAACAAGTTTGGGAGGATATATTTGTGAGAAGGGATTTTCTTTGGTAAGAAATCATTACGTATTGCAGACTCGTACACTAGCATTGGCTAATCAATAATCACATAATTAACTAACTTAGAACGAAACCCCCGGGGACAGGAAGTCTGGACTTTAAACCAGGAAAGATGTTGATTTTTTCTTGATACGGCAATCATTGACCTTATCAGAATCAAAATATTTGAAAATGAGCAATTGGTTCCACTGCCTGTTTCTAAAGCTCGGATAGGTGCAATGATAATTGATACTGTTGGTACTTGTCAATGTCTCTAGATATGTGAATGTAGCCCTGTCAATACGATGTCCTTTTGTGTTATCTGTTGTTTAATGTTCATGTTGTAACCTACTTGCTGCCATGTTGGACAGGTCTCCCTTGAAAAAGAGATTGATGATCTCAATGGGACCATCTGGTTAAATAAAGGTTTAAAATGTAACCATGCCTTGTTAACTGTTTATAAATTTCATCTCGGTTCTCAGTGTAAGTGCTTTCTGTTATAGGCTGTCTCTACTCAGTTGCTCTCTCCTAAAGTCTTTCGACTCTGCTTTCTTTGGGTTTGTCGACACTTTTTCTTCCTTCCGTTATCACTACCCGTAGGTTCGTCCTTGGGCGCAAAAGTAAATCAGAGACTAGTAAACGTATCTCTCGACAAGATACAGTCAGTAGCGGACGAAACTCGGGTTGTTGAATATTTAGGTTGTCTATCTCCAAGTAGTCATGTTATGCAAACATATGTGACCGCGCTCCCTATATCATTTAGTGATGTTGTTACTCCTGTAGCGCTTATTACTTAGCTTACTTTTCGTGGTGTGTCAAAGATTTATTCCGACTTGTATCTGTCATACTGAACATAAAATGGAAATTTCAGCAGAGAGGACAGTAGAAGAAATGTATTATTGAGTATGTACATGCACAGGAATTAGAGATTTCGTGTTAGGAACTAAACTTATATGACCAGTAAATTTGCACATTGTGATGTGGGTTGAAGTCATATTGTCGCAACGTTTTCACTTCTATGCATTGTTATACACCAAAATTTATATAACTCGTGTTTGGAGCTGATTGTGAGCTAGTAAAAATTCCTTCGTCACTTTTGCAAGTACCCATATTCCGACAGTCTATGTTAGGTTTCATGGCTTTGTACATTTCACAAATCTCCTTTAGTATTCTGGCAATAATCACATCAGTGACGAACCATCTAGTTTCACTCTATGTAATTTTCAGTGGTGCTGTATAGCCCTTATAAATAAACTAGACATCCGATGACCTGCTATCATTAACGTACAGACAGTTACGACACTCTAGTGACCGAAGATCTTCTCTACGGACTGAAACTTTACTTCCGACGTCAGCTCTCGGAGCGTCCTACTCCCCAACAAAGTTGAAGTTCTCTCTCTCCTCACACAAGCGCAAGGGCTGAGCAGGATATCGTACCATTCAACCGGACAGGTCTCTGCCAGGTGTCCCGTCCAACTAGCGAGACCTATCACGAGCACGCGCCCATGCCCCATTTACGGCCCTAGTTTAGTAACCATGAAAGTAAATACCTCTCAGGAGATGTGCCCTGAAACCCTTCGTCTCTCTTTAGAACGGATGATGTGTACTACCCTAAAATTTTTTGGCCGCGTGCGATAGTGTACCACCTAGGGGTCACATCGTAGGATTGTATTGATAAAACCTCTTAGGACTTTACCTAGAAGGGGTCGGAGTGAGGAGGAGCACGATATACTTGAAAGGGTGAGGACCGTCAAAGCAACAAAGACCGTAAAGTCTCTTTATTAAAGGACTGCTCAGCATTCGGCGTGTCTGCAACTACAGTCTGATTGAGACGTGTAAAATTCTTTTACCTCTAAGTCTACACGAGGACGGGTTCATGTACCATCTGAGTGCCATTTGTATTTATGTACATGCTTGGAAGGATTAAAACGAAATATAGCTCTTCTCGCTTCTACCCGAAAAATACACTTTTAAATGACCGAATAGATTGTAAAAGACATTACGTTATGTGGGTTTTTTACCGCCTCTTACCAGAACTAACCCTTCAGTCTCTTTGGCCAAGACATATCGTTCCTTTTCGAAGTGTTTCGAGTCTCCAAATGGGTCGGTTTCCGATTGCAAGGTAATGCTATGCTATGAGTGTTTATGAAAGATAACGGAGGGGCATTCCTTTAAATCTTAAGACCAGAGGCAGGACGTCAAAGAACGTGATGACATGTTGTATTATGTTTTTTGTATTATTTGTAATTTTATGTATGTCTTTTATATTTACGTGAGACTTGTGCAAACGTGTTTGTGTTTTATTGGTTCCGGTGGTTTAGTCTGTTACGTGGTTATGATACGGTATGTCTTGTTGTGTGAAGTTTGTTATTGTAATCTTAACTATTATTGTTTTGTTATATTTCTATGCCTAGTTGAGTATTTAAGCTATATAATTGTATGTTTGTTGTATAATAGTCCACTCTTAAATTCCTAAAGCTTATCGTAATAAGTGAGTCGTTTATATATATCGGCTATCTTTGAGCGATTTCTGGCTACTATTGGTCGTGGTGAGGTTGCGACACGCAGCCGTCGTGATTTTAGTGGGTCTAATAGTCGGAGAGATTTCCGACACCATTCGAGCTAGAAATTTAGTGATGTGATGAGCTAATACTCGTTGTTTTTGCCTCAATCGACTGTGTGGTACGTGAGGTGTGCACAGAGTGATCTGAACCACAACACTCCTGAAGATCAAGTGACAGGACTACTATGACGAAAGAATGAAATTATGTGAGTTGTGATTGTAGTGAAATAGTTTATGGTTTGGTATTGGTAACACATTACGGTGGTTAACTTCAACGTAAAGATAAAGACTATAATGTAGAAGAGTTGAAAAGAGAATTAGGATACT